TCCTTAAAGCTTGGTTGGTCACATTCATCTTCCTCTTGATGTGACCATGAAACTGTTTTGGTTGGGACTTGGCCTTTTATGCAATGTCCTTTTCGTACTTCTTCTCTGCCACTCTCCTAGTTTGTGTACTGTTGTTCTGCTCCCTTTGTATACGCCGTTCTTGCCTCCTGTTTTGTATTTTCTCTATTTCTTCCGTGTTTTTTTTTGTAGTTTTCTCTGTGCTTCCAAGCACTGCCTGTTGAACTATAGGCTAATGCTCTTCTTGGTGGTACGAATGTTTCTGAAACATCTCTTTTTGAGCATTACATAGTCCATCATGTCCTGTGTTTATTTTCCCCCCGAGTTCTCTTCTCAATTTAGTCCCTCCTGGAATACCCTGACATTTTGGCATTTCCCTTTCAGGTATGCTTGCCTTATACATTTTCAATGCTTACAAGATGATAATGATTACATCTTTCTATGGTCTTCATCGTTACTATGTACTGGAAGACTAAACCCAGTGGTCTCTGGCTTCTATTGGTATTTCGTGGTCAGTATTTTCAAGGTTCATCTCATTCTGTATGAAAACTAGGTCTAGTCTGGTTGGTTGGTTGGTTAGCACCCGTGCAATCTTCCTCCCTGACATGTTGCCTCAAGAAGTTCCTCTCTACCCTACACAAAGCGTGTAGGGAGTTCCCACACACTTTGCTTTCCAGTCTCATCTTCTCCACTTTGGTCTATCGTTTCCCAGTCAATATGGTCATTATTGAAGTGTGCCGTTATTAGCTTTGTTTTCCAGTGAGGCTTTATCTGCCACACCTTGGAGGATATGCAAGCATGTTCTGTTCGAGACATTGTATTCGTGCTTCGGTCATCTGTGGTGCTCAGGGGGATTGTACTTTACAGCCATGACTACTTTCTTACCATCTAATGAAATGAGTCTTATGATTCAGTCCCTGTAGTTGTGTGCCGCCTCCAGGGAACATTCACTCAAAGATCCAGTTTCTTTTTACCAGCAGTGCCTCACCTCCTCCCCCCCAAAGTTTCACTTCTCCTTATCTGGCATTCCCTTGGAAATATTGCCTTGCTAATCATATCGGTTTGGTCGACATTAATGTATGTGTTATGACGCAGTATATAACACTTCCTTAGTTATACACTAGCTCTAACTTTATGTTCATGATATATTCATTGTCACATTAAAGTATCGAATATTCATTAAGTTCGTATACATTCCGGAAATAAATGATCCTTAATTACTCTTCAATCGTGTTTATTGTTTTTATTCAGTAATTGTATCTCTTGTATTAGCAGTAGCCTGAGTTCGTATGTGTGTGTGTGTATGCAGCCAGCCGGCAAGAGTATTTACTATGCATCTGCAGAATCGAGCTATTAGCTCTTGGACTCCGCCTTTCTAACCTATCTATATTTCCTCTATTGTATCTACTACATATATTTCTCTCAAACACGCGCACGCGCACTCACTCACACACACACACACACACACCAGAACGATCTTCCAGAGGGTATAGACTCATTCCTCTCGATTTTTGCTGATGATGCAAAAATTATGAGAAGAATTAAGACGGATGAAGATAGACAGAGACTACAGGAAGACCTGGATAAACTGGAGGAATGGTCTAGAAAATGGCTGCTAAAGTTCAACTCGGGAAAGTGTAAGGTGATGAAATTAGGCGAAGGGAGCAGGAGGCTGAACACAAGGTATCATCTGGGAGGGGAAATCCTGCAAGAGTCAAATAGAGAGAAGGATCTGGGGGTTGATATCACACCGAACCTGTCCCCAGAGGCCTACATCAAAAGAATATCATCAGCGGCATATGCTAGACTGGCCAACATAAGAACTGCCTTCAGAAACTTGTGTAAGGAATCTTTCAGAACCCTGTATACCACTTATGTAAGACCAATCCTGGAGTATGCAGCTCCAGCCTGGAGTCCATACCTAGTTAAACACAAGACAAAGTTAGAGAAGATTCAGCGGTATGCCACCAGGCTCGTCCCGGAACTGAGAGGATTGAGCTACGAGGAAAGGCTAAAGGAGCTGAACCTCACATCCCTGGAAAACAGAAGAGTCAGGGGAGACATGATAACCACCTACAAAATTCTCAGGGGAATTGACAGGGTGGACAAAGACAAACTCTTCAGCACGGGTGGGACACGAACAAGGGGACACAGGTGGAAACTTAGTACCCAGATGAGCCACAGAGACGTTAGAAAGAATTTTTTCAGTGTCAGAGTAGTTAATAAATGGAATGCACTAGGAAGTGATGTGGTGGAGGCTGACTCCATACACAGTTTCAAATATAGTTATGATAGAGCCCAGTAGGCTCAGGAATCTGTACACCAGTTGATTGACAGTTGAGAGGCGGGACCAAAGAGCCAAAGCTCAACCCCTGCAAGCACAATTAGGTGAGTACAATTAGGTGAGTACACACACACACACACACACATCCCCAAGAAGCAGCCCGTAGCAGTTGTCTTAACTCCGAGTTACCTATTTACTGCTAGGTGAACAGACGCATCAGAATGAAAGAAACTCTGCCCATTTGTTTCTGCCTCCGCCGGGAATCGAACTCGGACCCTCAGGACTACGACCCCTGAGTGCTCTTCACTCAACCGCAAAGCCCCTGTGTGTACTCGCCTAGTTGTGCTTGTGGGGATTGAGCTCTGGCTCTTTGGTCCCGCCTCTCAACTGTCAATCAACTGGTGTACAGATTCCTGAGCCTACTGGTCTCTACTGGGCGCCTGACAGCTGAGTGGACAGCACTTCGGATTCGTAGGCCTGAGGTTCCGAGTTCGATCCCCGGTAGAGGAGGAAACAAATAGGCAAAAAGTTTTTCACCCTGATGCCCCTCTCGTAATCTCAAACTCCTCTAGTGGTGCCTGGTTAACTATTCCTTCTTATATTTCTGGAACTTCTCTTTGCTCTACTGTGAAGACTTCACAGTAGAGCACACACCGTGTGTGTGTGTGTGTGTGTGTGTGTGTGTGTGTGTGTGTGTGTGTGTGTGTGTGTGTGTGTGTGTGTGTATACTTGCGTGTGTTCATGCCCAATATAGCGCACATTAGGTCTAAGTTTGTTTATTTAGAGCTACAACAAGTATAGGTTCTTTAGTTCCATTTCTTTAGCGTGCCATTTGGGGTAATCCAATAGTATAAAACGTGGACTTTTTTGGAGGGGGGGGGGGGGGGACCAGCACTCCATTTTTCTACGCTTGGTCAAAATTTTGATACAAGTAGTGTATCTCTGGGGACAGGATGCAATACTTGCATTTATAATCATGTCTCTCCTGAATCTTGTGTCTTCCTTCGACGTGAAGTTTAATCGATTTTAGCATTACCTTTCAGCTCGGCTATGGGTCTAGTGACATACCTCTAAACAACTCACATGTTGCTGGGGCCCCATACGTGTTGCATGAGTTAGTAATGGTGAAACACATGAGGAATGAGTTGGAGGAGGAGGCAGAGTGTGTTGTACACTGACCATGTAAGCCACTCCACTGAGCATGTGGAAGGGTGGTCACCAGCACCACCCTGGGAAGTAACCACCACTGGCACCTAAAGAGCTTATCTCAATGATACAGAACTAACAAATATGTATTGTATTTACAGTGTGTCCCAAAATGAGATATATATGTTTTTATGAAATCGGACGAATCTATTAAGAAACTACATCATTTCATGTGTTTTACCTAATTATAATTCAAAGCACATTTATAAATAAGTCCAATCTTTATTGAGTACTTTGAACATATGCTCCGTGTGTCTCCCTGATGTACCTCAACTCTAGCCTTGCGAAACACATCTTAAAGCACATCAGGAGTTCTGTCCTCCACAGCCAAATAAACCTTCGTTATTGATTTGATCCACAAATTCTGCACACACACACACACACACACACACACACACACACACACACACACACACACACACACACACACACACACACACACACACACACACACACACACACACACACACACACACACACACACACACACACACACACACACACACACACACACACACACACACACACCTTGCTGCTCGATTTAGGTAATCATCTATGCCCTGAAGTCCCTGAATATCACGGGCCTTTATTTTTTACCAGTGTCGAACGCACGATTCTATGACCCGTTGAATATGATGAGTTTTCGACTAATGGCTTCCTTAACCGACGTTGTTGGTTCATCCTCCATCAATTGTCCAACTGCTTCGATACTGTCACCTTCCGTCCTTGGACGTCGTCTTCCCACGTCGTCGTCTACGGTTCCAGTTCTTTTAAACTGATTCACAAGTTCCCGAATCGCTTCATCTGTTGACCAGACCACACACTAGAAGATGAAGGGACGACGACGTTTCGACTTGAGAATGGTCCAGGACGGAGCGAAACGTCGTCGTCCCTTCACTTTCTAGTGTGTGTGGTCTGGTCAACATTCTTCAGCCACGGTATTGTGCCTCATCGCCCGCGCTTCATTTGTAGTACCGAGTCTGTGAACTGTCCTTGTAAATCTTTCTCTGACTTCATTAATATCCTTGTAAATCTTTCTCTGACTTCATTATATCGCGAGCCTTTGCTAGGGACACCACAATGGACGGTGCTGCGGTCTTGTGTATTCATTATCAGGGTTTGTTATCATTGTATTCATAAACCCTGATAATGATTTGTATTCATTATCAAGGTTTGTTATCATTGTATTCATAAACCCTGATAATTATTTGTATTCATTATCAGGGTTTGTTATCATTGTATTCATAAACCCTGATAATGATTTGTATTCATTATCAGGGTTTGTTATCATTGTATTCATAAACCCTGATAATGATTTGTATTCATTATCAGGGTTTGATATCATTATCGGAATAAAGATGAAATACTTTTGATGTTTATTTACATATTAAACATGATAAACATCAATAAACGTGTGTTTTTATTTTTTACAAATTCGTCCGATTTCATGTAAATAGGTAGCTGATTCTGGGACACCCTCGGAGAATGTCCTTTATTCATTTTCTCTATTTCTGATTATATTATGGGTGAGCTTAGGGAGGCGGGTGACCTTGCAGGAGGCGGGTGACCTTGCAGTAGGCGGGTGACCATGCAGGAGGCGGGTGACCTTGCAGGAGGCGGGTGACCTTGCAGGAGGCGGGTGACCTTGCAGGAGGCGGGTGACCTTGCAGGAGGCGGGTGACCATGCTGGAGGCGGGTGACCATGCAGGAGGCGGGTGACCTTGCAGGAGGCGGGTGACCTTGCAGGAGGCGGGTGACCTTGCAGGAGGCGGGTGACCTTGCAGGAGGCGGGTGACCATGCTGGAGGCGGGTGACCATGCAGGAGGCGGGTGACCATGCAGGAGGCGGGTGACCTTGCAGGAGGCGGGTGACCTTGCAGGAGGCGGGTGACCTTGCAGGAGGCGGGTGACCTTGCAGGAGGCGGGTGACCTTGCAGGAGGCGGGTGACCTTGCAGGAGGCGGGTGACCTTGCAGGAGGCGGGTGACCTTGCAGGAGGTGGGTGACCTTGCAGGAGGCGGGTGACCTTGCAGGAGGCGGGTGACCTTGCAGGAGGCGGGTGACCTTGCAGGAGGCGGGTGACCTTGCAGGAGGCGGGTGACCTTGCAGGAGGCGGGTGACCTTGCAGGAGGTGGGTGACCTTGCAGGAGGCGGGTGACCTTGCAGGAGGCGGGTGACCATGCAGGAGGTGGGTGACCATGCAGGAGGCGGGTGACCTTGCAGGAGGCGGGTGACCATGCAGGAGGTGGGTGACCATGCAGGAGGTGGGTGACCATGCAGGAGGCGGGTGACCTTGCAGGAGGCGGGTGACCTTGCAGGAGGCGGGTGACCTTGCAGGAGGCGGGTGACCTTGCAGGAGGTGGGTGACCTTGCAGGAGGCGGGTGACCTTGCAGGAGGCGGGTGACCTTGCAGGAGGTGGGTGACCTTGCAGGAGGTGGGTGACCATGCAGGAGGTGGGTGACCATGCAGGAGGTGGGTGACCATGCAGGAGGTGGGTGACCATGCAGGAGGTGGGTGACCTTGCAGGAGGTGGGTGACCTTGCAGGAGGTGGGTGACCTTGCAGGAGGTGGGTGACCTTGCAGGAGGCGGGTGACCTTGCAGGAGGCGGGTGACCTTGCAGGAGGTGGGTGACCATGCAGGAGGCGGGTGACCTTGCAGGAGGTGGGTGACCATGCAGGAGGTGGGTGACCATGCAGGAGGTGGGTGACCATGCAGGAGGTGGGTGACCATGCAGGAGGTGGGTGACCATGCAGGAGGTGGGTGACCTTGCAGGAGGTGGGTGACCTTGCAGGAGGTGGGTGACCTTGCAGGAGGTGGGTGACCTTGCAGGAGGTGGGTGACCTTGCAGGAGGTGGGTGACCTTGCAGGAGGCGGGTGACCTTGCAGGAGGCGGGTGACCTTGCAGGAGGCGGGTGACCTTGCAGGAGGCGGGTGACCTTGCAGGAGGCGGGTGACCTTGCAGGAGGTCACAACAACAACATGTGACGTAGGATCTCGGGCGTCTATACGATGACGTCATTTGCCGCCAAGACGGATGATACGAGTTCATTCACAAAGCTTCCATCTTAAAGTTGAGGTGCAGCTTGCGGCCACGTGGCCCCCTCCCCACACCCTGTCCCCTCCCCCCCACCTCTCCCTCTCTCCCTCTCTCTCTCTCTCTCTCTCTCTCTCTCTCTCTCTCTCTCTCTCTCTCTCTCTCTCTCTCTCTCTCTCTCTCTCTCTCTCTCTCTCTCTCTCTCTCTCTCTCTCTCTCCTCACCCTTCTCCTCTCCACTCTCCCCCTCACCATCTACCACGACTCTGTATCTTCCTCCTTACTACTTCGTCCTGGGGCCATTAAGGCTGAGAAGGGTGTGCGTGTGTAGGGGAGGGACCTTCATCATGGTGGGGGAGAGTGTGGGGGAGGGGGTTGGTCCACACATAGATAGACAGACAGACAGTGACAGGAAATATACAGTAACAAGCGCCAGTGAAGTAAGACAGAGGGGTTTAGAGCGCGTCATAAACACAAGTTGTAATATGCGGGAGATAATGTGCGTCATTTTTGTTTTTTCTTTGGTGCAGATTAAAGCTGATCTGTCGCGGTGTGTGTGTGTGTGTGTGTGTGTGTGTGTGTGTGTGTGTGTGTGTGTGTGTGTGTGTGTGTGTGTGTGTGTGTGTGTGTGTGTGCGTGTGCGTGTGCGTGTGCGTGTGCGTGTGTGTGTGTGTGTGTGTGTGTGTGTGTGTGTGTGTGTGTGTGTGTGTGTGTGTGTGTGTGTATACTCGCCTAGTTTAGCTTGCGGGGGTTGAGCTCTGGCTCTTTGGTCCCGCCTCTCAACTGTCAATCAACAGGTGTACAGATTCCTGAGCCTACGGGGCTCTATCATATCTACATTTGAAACTGTGTATGGAGTCAGCCTCCACCACATCACTGCCTAATGCATTCCATCTGTTAACTACTCTGACACTGAAAACGTTCATTCTAATGTCCCTGTGGCTCATGTGGGTACTCAGTCTTTACCTGTGTCCTCTTGTAGGTAATTTTGCAGGTAGTAATCATGTCTTCCCTTACTCTTCTGTCTTCCAGTGTTGTGAATTTGCATTTCACGCAGCCTTTCTTTGTAACTCATGCCTCTTAGTTCTGGGACTAGCCTAGAGGCATACCTCTGAACTTTTTCCAGCTTCGTCTTGTGCTTGACAAGGTACGGGCTCCATGCGGGGGCTGCATACTCCAGGATTGGTCTTACATATGTGGTGTACAAGATTCTGAATGATTCCTTACACAGGTTCCTGAAGGCTGTTCTTATGTTAGCCAGCCTCGCATATGCCGCAGATGTAATTCTCTTTATGTGGGCTTCAGGAGACAGGTTTGGTGTGATATCAACTCCTTGATCTTTCTCTCTGTACGTTTCATGAAGTACTTAATCTCCTATATTGTATCCGGTGTCTGGCCTCCCGTTTCCTGCGCCTATTTTCATTACCATACATTTACTCGGGTTGAACTTTATTAACCACTTGTTGGACCATTCATTCAGTCTGTCTAGGTCATCTTGTAGCCTCATACTATTTTCCACCGTGTTAATCCTCCTCATAATTTTTGCATCATCAGCAGACAATGAGAGGAATGATTCTATACCATCTGGTAGATCATTTACATATATCAGAAGCAGTATAGGTCCAAGGATTGAAACCTGCGGGACTCCACTGGTGACGCCTCGCCAATCTGAGACCTCACCCCTCACAGTGACTCGCTGTCTTCTGTTGCTTAGGTACACAGTACTTAGGTACTGTGTGTGTGTGTCTGGTGTGTGTGTGTGTGTCTGGTGTGTGTGTGTCTGGTGTGTGTGTGTGTCTGGTGTGTGTGTGTCTGGTGTGTGTGTGTCTGGTGTGTGTGTGTCTGGTGTGTGTGTGTCTGGTGTGTGTGTGTCTGGTGTGTGTGTGTCTGGTGTGTGTGTGTGTGTGTGTGTGTGTGTGTGTGTGTGTGTGTGTGTGTGTGTGTGTGTGTGTGTGTGCGTGCGCGGGGGAGCTGGCGTGCGTGCAGAGTTACAGGCCTAGCCGTCCCCCACTAACACACACAATTACTTCCTATCTTGCGTTATTTGTCAGTGCCTCTAAAAAGCGAATAATGAGCCTTGCCAGCCTCCCCTCCCGCTTTTATCACCCCTCACGACCCCTACCCCCCACCCCAGTCAACTCCCCCAACCCGTAACGACCCCCAAGGGAGCTCAGACGACCCCCCCCCTCCTTCACTGATTTTCTTTAATTGTGGGGAAGTGGAGGGGGGGGGGGCAGTGGGTCATACCTTCTCTCCATATATACACACCTCTAAAGGTGGGGGTGACGGATGGTGGGGGTGACGGATGGTGGGGGTGACGGATGGTGGGGGTGACGGATGGTGGGGGTGACGGATGGTGGGGGTGACGGATGTTGGGGGTGACGGATGGTGGGGGTGACGGATGGTGGGGGTGACGGATGTTGGGGGTGACGGGATGGTGGGGGTGACGGATGTTGGGGGTGACGGATGTTGGGGGTGACGGATGGTGGGGGTGACGGATGGTGGGGGTGACGGATGGTGGGGGTGACGGATGGTGGGGGTGACGGATGGTGGGGGTGACGGATGGTGGGGGTGACGGATGGTGGGGGTTCTTTAATATTATTATTATTATTATTATTTTCTACCACAGACGTAGCCACACATTTACAATGCTAACCAGCATATATACATATTCTTGTGTCCTCCATGGCCAGGGTTCGAGATATGTTAAATTAAACATATTATTCAATGTTTTATTGAACAATCGACCACAGAAGGTGATTATAGTGCTTATATAATGTTAATCTTACCTACATACAGAAATACACAGATTTACATCTGCTCTACATAAATTGTGTTCATTGTGCCTTTCTTTACATAGTGTTATTAATGTGCGTTTACAAAGGTGAAATACAATTCTGACCAGCTTCCACATGTCCTGTATACACATTCATACATACAAACATACATACCAAGTTGACCACCGAGCGCTGTCGGGTCTTGGATAGTCTCACGACACCAAGATTTTGGTACAGTCGTGTGGTCAGGTGGTTAAGGTACCAGGTACGCCTAGGGTGCATAGTGCTCCTGGCTATCTGGGTTCGAATCCTTCTATGGGTGTGGAGTTTTCAGTAATATATATACATATATACAAGTATACATACTTTTACACATACACACACATATATGTCCCTCCTACTTTGACAGTATAAGGTAGCTGCTATATAAATTAGTGTGTTATTAAGCACCTGACCATTGGAGGGTGGTTAGGTGCATAACTAATTAGGGGGCTTTTACACCCTCAGGTTATAGTTACATCACATTGTATAACTGATGTAGTGGAGGTAATGGTGGTGGTGGTGGAGGTAGTGGTGCTGTGTGGTGGTGGAGGTAGTGGTGGTGGTGCTGTGTGGTGGTGGTGCTGTGTGGTGGTGGAGGTAGTGGTGGTGGTGCTGTGTGGTGGTGGAGGTAGTGGTGGTGGTGCTGTGTGGTGGTGGAGGTAGTGGTGGTGGTGCTGTGTGGTGGTGGTGGTAGTGGTGGTAGTGGTGGTGGTGCTGTGTGGTGGTGGAGGTAGTGGTGGTGGTGGTGGTGGTGGTAGTGGTGGTGCTGTGTGGTGGTGGAGGTAGTGGTGGTGGTGCTGTGTGGTGGTAGTGGTGGTGGTGCTGTGTGGTGGTGGAGGTAGTGGTGGTGGTGCTGTGTGGTGGTGGTGGTAGTGGTGGTGGTGGTAGTGGTGGTGGTGCTGTGTGGTGGTGGAGGTAGTGGTGGTGGTGCTGTGTGTGGTGGTGGAGGTAGTGGTGGTGGTGCTGTGTGGTGGTGGAGGTAGTGGTGGTGGTGGTGGTAGTGGTGGTGGTGCTGTGTGGTGGTGGAGGTAGTGGTGGTGGTGCTGTGTGGTGGTGGAGGTAGTGGTGGTGGTGCTGTGTGGTGGTGGTGGTAGTGGTGGTGGTGGTAGTGGTGGTGGTGCTGTGTGGTGGTGGAGGTAGTGGTGGTGGTGGTGGTAGTGGTGGTGCTGTGTGGTGGTGGAGGTAGTGGTGGTGGTGCTGTGTGGTGGTAGTGGTGGTGGTGCTGTGTGGTGGTGGAGGTAGTGGTGGTGGTGCTGTGTGGTGGTGGTGGTAGTGGTGGTGGTGGTAGTGGTGGTGGTGCTGTGTGGTGGTGGAGGTAGTGGTGGTGGTGGTGGTGGTGGTAGTGGTGGTGCTGTGTGGTGGTGGAGGTAGTGGTGGTGGTGCTGTGTGGTGGTGGTGGTAGTGGTGGTGGTGCTGTGTGGTGGTAGTGGTGGTGGTGCTGTGTGGTGGTAGTGGTAGTGGTGGTGGTGCTGTGTGGTGGTGGTGGTAGTGGTGGTGGTGCTGTGTGGTGGTGGTGGTAGTGGTGGTGGTGCTGTGTGGTGGTGGAGGTAGTGGTGGTGGTGGTGGTAGTGGTGGTGCTGTGTGGTGGTGGAGGTAGTGGTGGTGGTGCTGTGTGGTGGTGGTGGTAGTGGTGGTGGTGCTGTGTGGTGGTAGTGGTGGTGGTGCTGTGTGGTGGTAGTGGTGGTGGAGGTAGTGGTGGTGGTGCTGTGTGGTGGTGGAGGTAGTGGTGGTGGTGCTGTGTGGTGGTGGAGGTAGTGGTGGTGGTGCTGTGTGGTGGTGGAGGTAGTGGTGGTGGTGCTGTGTGGTGGTGGAGGTAGTGGTGGTGGTGCTGTGTGGTGGTAGTGGTGGTGGTGCTGTGTGGTGGTGGAGGTAGTGGTGGTGGTGCTGTGTGGTGGTGGTGGTAGTGGTGGTGGTGGTAGTGGTGGTGGAGGTAGTGGTGGTGGCGGTGGTAGTGGTGGTGCTGTGTGGTGGTGGAGGTAGTGGTGGTGGTGCTGTGTGGTGGTGGTGGTAGTGGTGGTGGTGCTGTGTGGTGGTAGTGGTGGTGGTGCTGTGTGGTGGTAGTGGTGGTAGTGGTAGTGGTGGTGGTGCTGTGTGGTGGTGGTGGTAGTGGTGGTGGTGCTGTGTGGTGGTGGTGGTAGTGGTGGTGGTGTGTGGTGGTGGAGGTAGT